GGGCCTCAATGTCTCATTTAGAAAGGCAATTTAGGTGGGCTTGGGTTAAGCATTTGTCAAATTTTGAGGACCCAGGCCCATTCTTTGTAAAACCATCAAGTGAGGTACCTGGCTTGCTCACCAATCCTATATTCATGTTTTTCCAGGCTAGGTTGGGTCTGTGTTGGTGCGACTTCAGGTCGGATTCGAATTGAGCCAAACCCATGCTGAGTGACATCCTTATATCTACCTCTGCAAAATTTGCAACTGGTCAATAAAGCTTGGGCATACTTGGGTTGGGCTTTTGTCAAATTTGAATGGGCTTAGCTCGAAGGCCCGAAGACCAAAGAAAATTTCTCCTTACAGGTCTAGCCCTCCCCCATAACGACCAACCCAAATAAGCAACAATTGGCACTCTGTTTGAGGACCACTCTTTCACCTCCTTGGCGCTGATTGCAGGAGATTTTATTCAAGAATCCCTCTGTGCACACCCAGAGAGTGCAACAAAGTTGCCCAGTATCCATAACTCAATTTACCAACTGATGGTGGCTCAGTTGGTAGGATCTCAGACTTGATGTAGCAGAGACTTGGGATCAAATATTCCAGAGCCCCTCGGTTGTGTAGCCCCATGAAGCTCAAGTTAGTTGGTTACCGTCCAGCTGTAGTTTGTTAGACAGCTGTCAAGTTAGTTGTTAGCAAATATCTGCCAAGACTCACCACATATCGAATTCCTTTTCTCGATATGTGTATTTGTATAATATACCCATCACCCCGAATCAATGAACATATCGAATTCCTTTTTTCTGTCAGAGCGTTGGCGAGTTCTACATCAATCGAACTCTACACCATTGCAATGTCACCGTCGTCAGCCATGTTTGATCTTGATCTGACGTCACCCTGCTACCTGCATCCTTCCGACAGTCCTGGTGCAGTTTTGATTTCGTCTCCGCTTATTACTTGATATGGCAGAGAGCGATGCGGATCCCATTAGAAGCCAAAAATAAGTTTGGCTTTGTCAATGGAACAATATTGAAACCTGAATAACCTCCGGCAGAAGTAAGAGCATGGATCAAATGCGGCAATAGCATAGTCACTTTGTGTTTCTTTAATTCTCTCGCACGAGAATTCCATTAAAGTGTTGCATATCCGTCTTCTAGAAGGGAGACTTGGTCTGATTTTGAAGAAAGGTTTTCCCAAGGTCACGATCCTCGGTTATATCAATTGAAGTGGGATCTTTCCCTATTACACCAATGAACCATGTTAGTGACCTCTTATTTCACACGAATGAATGGTCTTTGGGACAAAATTGCAGTTCTTTCTGAAATACCGGAGTGCTCTTGTGGATCTGCAAGAAAGTTGATTGCAGAAAGAGAGAAAGATAAAGTCCTATAGTTCTTGATGGGCCTTGCGGACACCTTCAACAATGTCCGATCTTCCATCCTCACCATGGAGCCAATTCCAAATGTGAATCGTGCCTTTGCCATGATCATACAAGAAGAGTGCCACCAAGCCATGGTTTCTCAGAAGATGCCACTAATTGACACTGTTGTTGCTGCTTTCTTTGTGAATAAATCTGGTATTTGGAGTAATGGAAATCCGACCAAATCCAAACTCAAATGTGAATATTGTAAAAGAACAAGACATACCAGAGACGTGTTTTGAACTCTTTGAATATCCTGAAGGTTGGGACAAAGGTCGATCAACCAAGAATTCCAAGAATGGAAAATCAGCCCACGCAGCTTGTGTGAAAGGTGAATCATTTGGATCTCAAGAAGTCTCACCTATATCTCTCACTATAGACCAATATAATCAGTTGTTGGGGCTACTAAATGATGATAATCATGATCCATTGGCTACTTCAACCATGACTGGTAAGGATCCTTTCACTTCTTTAATACATTTGGACATTTGGATTTTGGACAACGGGGCTTTAGATCACATGACCCCTAACAAACCCTTGTTCATCCACTGTAAAGCCTTAATGACTTTCTTCTCTGTTAGATTACCAAATAATTGTCTCTTATCCGCCATTCATATAAGAACAATTATATTGATACCTGGCCCTGTAATTCAACATGTACTGTATGTGCCTAACTTCAAGTATAATCTCTTGTTTATAAGAAGACTTACAACACAGTTAAACTGTATTGCTCTCTTTTCCTCCACATCCTATGTATTATAGGACCAACACTTGAAGACGATTGGCAAGGGACATCTGTTTGATGGAGTCTATTGCTTAGAATATGGTGCTTCAATTGCAGCTTCTACTACATCACATATAGATGGAGATGGATATACTTCATGGTACAATAGGCTCAGGCATGCTCCTCCTCGTCAGTTGTCTTTACTATTAAACAGGCATATCATAGATGATAGTAATGGGGTTTGTGATGCTTGCGAATGAGCAAAACATACTAGAGTTCCGTTTCCAATAAGCTCGTCAAGAGCAACTTCAGCCTTTACTTTGATACATGTTGACATATGGGGTCCTTATCACATTGCTTCTCATTCAGGCACAAGATATATTTTAACCATTGTAGATGATTACAGTAGATGCACTTGGCTGTAATTGATGAAATTTAAGTCAGAAATATTTTTTGTACCTGTCTCATTCTATAAAATGGTGAGAACTCAGTTCAAATGTAGTGTTCAACAAGTCAAATTTGATAATGGGAAAGAGTTTCTCTCTAATCCTATTCAATCATTCTTTACTCAAAATGGGATTGTGCACCAAAGAACCTGTGTCTATTCCCCGCAACAAAACGGGAGAGTTGAGAGAAAACACAAGCACTTGTTAGAGGTTGCCCGTGCTTTGCGATTTCAAGCTTCACTGCTAGTTAGCTTTTGGGGTGAATGTGTGTTCACTTCAACATACATAATAAACTATTTGCCAGCCATTCCCCTTCAAAGTAAGTCCTCATTTGAGTTACTTTTTGGAAGGCCTCTCATGCTCAATCACTTGTGCACCTTTGGGTGCTTATGCTATGCCCATGGGCGACCATTAGACATAGACAAATTTGCACCTCGGGCAACCCAGTGTATATTTGTTGGTTATTCATACAGACAAAAGGGATATTGAGTATATAGCCTCAAGACTCATTGAATATTCACCTCAAGAGATGTAGCCTTATATGAAAATATTTTTCCATATGCTAGTGATTCTTCTAACCAACACCATAGTCCAAACATTGTGTTCCCGCTCTCTCAAATTGAACAACAGACAAAACCCTTTGTGATTAACCATTCAGATCAATCCACTGAACCTTTGACATCTCAAGATAACGCCAAGACTGACTTACATCCATTTTCCAAGCCTATTGAACTGTCTCGGCCTCAACGTGCTAGAAGACTACTCACCCACCTCGAAGACTTCATTTATAACCTGCCACATTCCACATCCGCCGCAGCTTTAGCCTCATCTGAACCCATTAATTAAGCCCAAATCATATGCTCAAGCAGCCCATGATCCAAATTGTAAACATGACATTAATGAAGAAATACAAGCGCTCAAGAGAAATAAAATATGGTCCATAGTTGACCTTCCTCCAGGAAAGAAACCCATTGGAGCAAAGTGGGTATACAAATTAAAATACCATGCTGATGGTATGATAGAGCGCTACAAAGCCCGCTTAGTGGCAAAGGGATACAACCAAGTAGAGGGATATGATTACCATGATACATATGCCCCTGTGGAAAAGCTAGTCACACTCTGCTGTTTATTGGCTATAGCGACATCAAAGGGTTGGGAACTTCACTAGTTAGACATGAACAACGCTTTCTTGAATGGGGATTTGGCAGAAGATGTGTATATGAACATACCTCTCGGTTTTCCCAAGCAGCCACAAAATAAAATTCGCAAATTACACTAGTCTTTATATGGGTTTAAACAAGCCTCATGTTGCTGGTATGAGAAATTTGCAACTGTATTGACAAACATCAGATTCAAACAGTCCATAACAGATTACTCCCTCTTTACACTAAAGCAAGATGAATCATCCATTGTGGTTTTGGTGTATGTTGATGAACTGGTCATAAAACATCTCCATGATTGTTTCTTGTTGAAAGACCTAGGCCCACTCAAGTATTTCTTGGGCTTGGAAATTGCACGTAGCAGTTCTGGAATTTTTTTATGTAAGAACAAATATGCTTTCGACATCATCTCTGATATAAGTATGGAGAATTGTAAACCTGCATCACATCCCATGGAGCAACAAAAACACTTCATTGATGACAATAGCCCACTGCTAGATGGTCCAAGTTAGTATAGGCGATTGGTGGGTCGGTTAGTCTACTTAACCGTCACTAGGCCAGAACTCGGTTTTCCAGTACATATACTAACACAATTCTTGAGCAAGCCATGGACAGAGCATATGGAGGCTGCTAAAAGAGTGGTTAGATTCATCAAAACCAATCCCAGTCATGGAACATTTTTTAGCAAACAATGAGATGCTACTCCGAATCTATTGTGGTTCTGATTGGACCTCTTGCCCATTAACTCGGATGCCCACTTATGTTGCGTTACTTGGAAGCTCCATCATTTCATGGAAAATTAAGAAGTAGTCAACTGTGTCACACTCATCTGTGGAAGCTGAATATCAGGCCATGGTTGTTGCCACTAATGAGCTACTATGGCTTAGACGCCTACTCTGTGGCTTAAACATTCCCATTTCTGAGCCTATGGAACTTTTCTGTGGCATTCAATCAACCATACACATTGCTACATATCGATATTAATTGTCATTTTGTGTGTGAACACGTTCAAGGTAAGACCATCAAGCTCCGGCATATTGTTACCAAGTGCCAGTCAGCCAACCTTTTCACTAAAGCATTGGGCGCAGAACAATCCTCTCATCTCATGTCCAAGTTGGGCATCACAGATGCTCCAACTTGAGGGGGCATATTGGAGAAGAAAATCGGTTAGTTGGCTACCGTCCAGCTGTAGTTTGTTAGACAGCTATCAAGTTAGTTATTAGTCAAACATCTGCCAAGACTATATATATATATATACCCATCACCCCGAATCAATGAACATATAGGGTTCCTTTTTTCTCTGCTCTTTGTTTTGATAGGGTTTGTACCCAATTAATGGCAAATGGTAACAACAGATTTTCAGGGTTTCCCAGTCCCACTGCTTCGGTAGTAAGTACAACAGCAGTATGCATCTCGGTAAAAGTCAATTCATCAATATTGGCTATGACCATGAACAAAGAAAATAATACAGAGAAAAACATACTACATGAAATGTGGATTGCTGAAAAAGGAGAGGATTTCATGAGTGACTTCTTCAGCTTTCTCTTGTTGGATATAATGGTGGCCATCAATGATAACAACTTCAACGTTTGGTACCAAAGCTTTGAATTCTCCTCCCTCCACATACTCCTTCATACCGAGTGTGTTAAATCCGATATCCTTGTCCCCAATTATCACCTTTGCCGGGACTTTGATCTTCGCCCCTCGCCAAGGAGCAAGAAGCTCCCAGCTCCTACAATCATCAACAGCATCAGATTTACATTAATTACATCCATTAATGCAGATGGAGATATGGTTAATGGCAACTGGGGGGGGGGGGGGTTAATATATATAACTTTCCTCATTTATTCTTACTTGTCCATTGCTCGGAAGTAGTTCAAAGGGCCGGTAAATCCAGACTTGCGGAACTTGGTAGCAGAAAATTGGAGCTCTTCCTCAGTAATCCATGCTGGGAGCGACGCTGGAGTGTTCAGAAAATCAATAATCTCAACATCGGGAGGAGCACTCAGAAGATCAGGTGCGCCGACCAGGAGAAATCTCTTCATAACAGTAAAACAGTCATAACGGGCAAAGGCCTTTTCTGCTCTCCCTGGCTCCTTCAATAGCATGTATAATCAGAGTTTCTGTATCTGTTCCTTTTAATTTTCTAGAGTGAATTAATGAATGAATGAAGCAAACGGATTGGGAGATGGAGGACGCTTACTTGGAATTGACAAATGAAGTAGCCTTGGCCATACAGTCTGGTCATCTTCTGTACTGGCTTCTCTGTAGGGGAGGGTGGCCGGAAAGCGAGGCCCAAGCTGACCACTGCTTTAACTCTATCTGGCCTGAAGAGACATAGGTACCACGCTACCTGAGCACCCCAATCATGTCCAACCACAAAAGCCTGTTACAAGATTAACCCAACAACAGTTCATATATAGTAATAGCTTCTTTCATGGCGGACTGAGAATATTGAGAGAAGGGAGAGAGAAGTATGTATATAACCCGTTCTTCGCCAAGCTCGTCCAGCAGGCCGATGAGGTCGCCCACAAGGTGGAGCGTTGTGTATGAAGCAGGATCAGATGGAGAATCCGTATCTCCATACCCTCGCATATCTGGTGCAACCACACGATAGCCATGTCTAGCCAATTGGTTAATCTGGTAATTCCAGGAGAACCAAAGTTGAGGAAAGCCATGGATGAGAAGAACCAGTGGCCCCCTCCCTTTCTCTGCTATGTTCATCCATATTCCGTTGGTTCGGACCCTTCTCTGCCTTAGGTCGCTCATGTCTTCTTCTGCTATATAGTTCTTCTTCTTCTTCTTCTTCTGCTATATAGTTCTTTTCTCTGGCTGATAGCTAGCATCTGTTTTTTTTTTTTTTTTTCAATGGTGGCGGCTTAACTCAGGTTGAAAATTTTGGAATGCTTAGTTCATCTGTGGAAAAGATCTGGACTTTGAAAGTTCATATCTGATATGTGCAAGGAACCCTCGTTTCCATTGCTTGTCAACCTAAATGGACCCCGTTAATAATTAGAGTGAGAGATTTTTTATTTAAAGACCTACCGACCATTATAATTTATTAAGTTGAATAATTCTTAGGTTGAATAATTCTTTAAGATTTATAATTTAAAACTTTTTTTTGACCTTTTATTGGGTTTGGGACCATTCAGTAACCTGCCTCATTAATAATTTTGGGCGTAGACAGACTAATAGACCATCAAGATCCACGTCTTTTCCAGAAAATTTTATTTTTTATATCAACTTGGCTCATAAAATCTTATCTCTATACCTACCTAGAGTTGTCTTTGTTAATTTGGAGTTGATCAATATAAAATTATAAATTGGTGTGAAATATATATGGATTGTCAATGCCACATGATCATAGACGTTTTGGGTTAATTAATCTAAATTGATATTCAAGTCTAAATGGCAATTATATTGGTCCCCCACATCTACATGTACGCTTTCAGTTGAAGTGACTCTCTTATGTGACGGATCATTGACATTTATGGTTAATTTGACATAAAAACACAGTACTTTATATCAATCCAAAATGTTTCGGTCTCACAAATTTGCATTGATAAACCCAACAAGGTTTTAGATAAAAATACAATGGCACCAAACACAACTTTAATTAATTTCCATTTCCGGTCTCACTAAAGTTTTTAGCCAGGTGGTCAACAAAAAAAAAAGCTTTGTATTAGTTCTATGACGTAAAATCTAGTACGCTATGACAGAGAAGTTTAAACTAAAATACAAGGAACAATAGAGAATTTGATTACGTGAAAGATAGATTATTGAAAAAGGAAAGAATTTCACGAGTTACTTCTTCAGCTTTTTCTTGATGGATATAATGGTGGCCATCAATGGTAACAACTTCAATATTCGGTATAAAAGTTTTGAAATCTCCTCCCTCTACATACACTCCTTTGTGCCATATGCGTGAAGTACAACATCTTTGCTACCATTTATCAATTTTGCTGGAACTGTAATTTTCGCCCCTTGCCATGGTTTCAGAAGCTCCCAGTTCCTATATCAACAACACCAAATTGAAAATTAGATATGGAGAGAGAGATAATGCCTTTACACTTAGGCCAGGGAAGACCCCACTTTTTCCTTCTTTTTCCTACTTTTTCCTTCAAAGGCCAAAGCAAACACAGCCTTATTGAACTGCTGGCTAAACTGGGTAAACCGTGACCCAATGAGCTTTATGCCCAGTCTGGTTATGGTAATTGGCTGAGTAATAACACCGGTCTGATCGGATGTTTGAAACCAGAGAGAAGAAGCTGTCCTGTATGTTCAAAGATAAGGGACTGCTGCTTGCTTTTGGGGCTTTATATGCTACATTACCATTTTAAAATTCCAGATATGGTTGGAAGAATATACTCTTTATCTGATTGAGTTTCTTCTTTTTATTGGGTTATGCTTTAAAAAAATTAGACTAGAAGAATATTTTGGTAGTATGTTGGCATTAAGGGGGGGGCTTTGTCAATACGTATGATTTTGTAAACAACTGCCACATCATAAAAAACAAAATAATTTTGATGATCTGGAAGTTGTTTAGCATGGTTTTTAAAACCGACCCGGAGACTGAACTGGTCAGGGTCCGGTTACTGGGTCAAACGATCGGCCCATTCTGACAAAAAAAATTTAGAAAAAAAAAGAAAACTAGTCAAAACCATTCGAACGGTTAATCGCCCGGGTCAGCAGTTTGCTGACCAAAATCAACAGTTTTTATAGAAAATCTGGTTTTAGAGAAAACCAGAACCGGTCACTAGTTTTTCCGGTCCGGTCCAGTTTTAAAAACCATGTTGGTTAGTGCAACTTAATTGTCAGGGTCAACCTAAAACCTGACTAACCCTACCTGATTTTGGGCCCAATGAGGTTGACGTTGTTTAAAATCAGGTTCAACCCCAACCTTATTTTGAATGTGGTTAAATATATGAATATTATTAATTAGACCTGTTCACAAGCGGGAACAGGCATTGCCTCGTTATTAACAGAAAATGTCTAAGTCTATACCTGCAGCCTAAACATTGGACTTAGATCTTGAGCCCAAACTGGACCCTTACACAAAGTCTAAAACTCAATCTATAGGACAGGAAACATCCTACCTTTGGTGGAGGTATATTAATAATATACTATTTATTATATTATATTATATATATTTATTTATATAATGTTATCACACCAGGTTTATTCAGAGCCTGGCCTGAAAAATAGTCCGACCTGATGCTTAGAACCTAAGCTTAAGTCTAAGCTCATAGGTCTAAAACCATGTCCAAGCCCAATAAAGACCAATGAGAATAGGCTGGGCCAGCCTAGTAGGCTACCTGGTCCTGAAAATGTTTATATATGTGTGTATGTACCATGTACAAAATCTCTCTAATAAAACAAAAAGAAAGTGTTATGTATAGGGTTTTATATCTTTGTCAATATTTTAAGTATTATATTAGATGTTTGGTGTTCTTTTTTATTCCTCTATTGAAAATTTTTATAAATTTGTATAGTTAGGAACAATAATAGGTGGGAGAATCTAACACAACTCAGGGGCCTAATGTAGTATAGGTGGGAATTTGGGATAATACATTCATAAAACCAATAAAAATTTTGTGGAAGAACAAACTATAAATTTTAATTTTAAAGATATTTAAAAATTATTGCAAAAAAATATTAAATTTTGTATCATGCATTCATTAGGCTGACCTCATCCAACTCAAGCTGATTATGATCAAATTGAGTGGTTAGTGGAGTTGAGTAAGGGTTACATACTCCAAGCCTGAGGCCTTGTTCGTTTGTAATAAGTAACATTTACCTGGGTAAATGCACTTACCCATGTTCTTTTGATTTTCAGATTCCCAAGTAAATAATAAAATGACATTTTACCCTCACAAATTAATTATTAAAATGGGTAAAATGGTCCCATCATGTTTTGTAAAAAATTCTCTTAGGTGGGAAAGTTACTTATCCACCTGGGAGATAGGTAAGTTTTACCTTGGAAAGTAAAGGTAACTTTACTGTGGGATCCATTGCTTAATGCAAAAAGAACATGGGGAAATTGACCAATGGGAAAGAGTTAACCTTTGACCAACTTTCCCATGTATATTTACCTACAAATGAACGGGGCCTGAGGGTCAGTTAGCTGGTTTCTGCATGGAGAATCCAATGGGGTTGGATTGATTAATTACATGAAAATACACCTGTACATATATCTTGAAAATAGTTTTTGAGTCTCACAATAAAACGAGTTTTTAATTTGTCCCACATTGAAAAATTACTAAACATGTTTTGAGTTTTTAAACAGGAGTTTGCTTACACTCCTTAGAATTATAAGAGGATAGCGTGGAGGTTTTCTACCGCACAATACATGTGTGTGTGTGTGATGCAATTTTAGGTGCTTTAGAGAATGCACTTTGCTCACACCTATGTGGTTCGCGTAAGACGACATTGATTTTTTTTGTGCAAGGCTTAATCATGACCATTGATGTTTTAAGAAAGCCCAACGGTCATGATTTGATCGGGTGTGATCAAGAGGCATTATTCAAAAGTTAAAAATCATTAACTGTGTTAACTAACTTTTAGCAATCACAAAGTTTGAAATTATGATTGCACAAATAGACTTTTCTGAACCAACACCTTCTTCATGATGACTCTTTAGAAATTATATAAGGAGCTTGAATCAAGCAAATGAACACAATTTTCTGAAAAAACACTCGTCTCTTTCAGTCCGATCTGTTACTATTTCACATATGGTTTTTTCGGAGATTCTTCAACTTTTCTAGTTGCAAATTCTCGTTCAAGGCTCCGTTGTATCATAGGAACGAATTTGCTTGTAGTCTAACAATAAATTTTAAAATATAGTAATTATTATTACAACTCTCACTCTCCTTCCCCCACTACTCTCTCTTAAATGTCTTTTTTAAATGTAATAATAACATTCATTAAAATAAGAGGCCTTGGAAAACCTAAAGGTCTCTCTCTCTAATAGTATGTAGCTTTATTAGTCTAATCAAGATAAGCAATGATTACTTTTTTATATTTTTAAAACAAAGAAAATAGGAAAAATGCAAAAATTTGAGAAAATAGAAAAATAGGTTATCTCAAAAAGTAATTTTATTGGTTATATTTTTTTAATTTTTCATAATTTATCATATTTATTGGAAATCATGTTAATCCATTTTTGGTAATTTCTTGGATAATTTTTGGTAATTATGACAAAATTATTGGTACTTTATTTTTAGTTATCTTCTTGGCTAATTTCTATTCATTAAGTGTAAGTTTTTCTATTTATAACTTAAATTATATTACTTTTGATTACAGTTTAAAATTTAATTTTATTACTTATAGTTGAAAATATAATCTAAATAATATTTAAAATACAATTTAAAATTTAAATTGTTCATTAATGAATTAATAAAAAATATTAATATTTTTTAATAATTACAGTATTTTAATAAACATTGTTAATTATTAAATACTTTAACCAATAATTCTTAAATTATTGAAAATACTGTAAAATATGGTTAGTTATTAATACTGTAATTATTAAAAATACTGTTAATAAAGGTACATCATTTTTAATAGATAATGTTAATTAATTTAAACACTATAATTATTAAAAGTACTATATTAATTATTAAATTCTGTATTTTAATAAATATTTTTAATGAATTAATAATGTTGTAATTATTAAAAATACTATATTAATTAAAAGTACAATTAATGTTATTGATTAATAAAATAATGTAATTATTTAATTATTGTTAATTAATAAATACTATAATTGTTAATATTATTTTTAATAAATCATAACTTACATTTTATTAATTAATAAATATATTATTTAAAACTGTTTTTTAATAAGCAATGATGATTATTTAAGAATACTATAATTATTAAAAGTATTATTAATT